CCCGGACGGATCATCTCGCTTCGAGGTGACATTCCGTGGGCAGCGCACTCACCTGATCTAACGCCCCGTGCTTGTTTTTATGGGGATACCTCAAGGCAGAGGTTTTTAAACATCGCCCCACAAACCTGCTTCAGCGGAAGAATGTTATTCGGCAGGAAGTAGCCCAAATTCCAGTGCACATGTTGGAACGTGCAGAGGGGAACTTCAGAAAACGGTTGCATCAGTGCATAGAGAACGGTGGCCACCACCTTCAAGATATTTTGTTTAAAACTACATGATTTAAAACTTTAAAGTATGTTCTTTCATTAGCTAAACATAAATTTTGTCTATCAGCAATAATTTTTCTTTTATTCGCCTTCAAAAAGGAAGTTCCTGCGCCCCACCCTGTACATACCAAGTTTCATAAAGAATGATTCAGGCATTCAAAATTTGATGGGTGGGATACTATGGACATACAGCATGGAGATTGTATAGACCTCTTTTCATTTTTCCACAACAAGCAAGGTAGGATAAAATAGATTCTAAAGTGTTCTGACGAGGGTGTATAACACATAAAATTACAGAGTTTTTTTATTTTTTCCGTAGTCGGATGTTCTGGAAACTATAAAATACGACTGATTGAGATTATGTCTTTCTTAGGGCCCAACTGAGTGTTTCCACCCACTATTCACCTGAGGACGGAAACAGATCCAGTTTCGAAAACGTCATGTTTTCTATTTTCTAGAATACCGGATGATGGAAAAAGTCCAAAAATCCAGTAGGTTAAAAATAATATCTGTGTTCGACAGAGTACCATCTGAATGACTGATAATTATTAATTTCACTTTATCATTCTATCGATCAATCGTGAAATATATTATCTAGATGTCACGTAAGCAATTTACTTACTGAGAAAATAACAAAATATGCTTCATTACAAATTTCTATGGAATTAGATATGTCTGTGCAATCATTATGAGATTTTTCCGTAACCTCCGGCTTCCACTGAACTGTCTTTGAAAAACAGCGTTGTAAATACTAGAGCCTGCATTTATTTAATGGATTATTACACCAGAACATAATACATTTTGCGGAATTCTTTTTTTTTTCCGAATGATTCTGTCGCAGGATTCCATTTCACATGGGCTACAGCCCCATAAAATGCGGGAGAGGTGTGCATGAAAATAATTGGCAGTGACATGCAGTTAACTATAACTGCAGGATCTATGTAGTTAAACACAAACACTGACACCACTACTATTCGATTTGTGTATGCCACCCTATACACAATAATTAAATGAATAATGTGAATTTTGGTGTTACGAGGGTTTGCAATAGAAAACTTTTCACTAATGCAGATCACATGACAACAAGGCTTTAGTTACATGCGAGGGGTGACATCTGACGTCATAGATCATTAATTACATTAATCTATTGATTACGTTGTCAACGTAAAAACAACAGCCGTCCAGTTATAGAGACAGGAATAGCTTGTTACCTGTGCTCTGCGTTATGCATATGATGCTGTTTTTAATGTGGCTTGTCACTCTAAAAACAGTCAATTGTAACATCACCCAAAATTTAAAAATGTAGAGCTGGTAAATTTTGGAATTATGTCCCGTTCCTAACATGAATCCATATGGAGTTGATATATTTAAAGTTAATGTTGAAATATGTACCTCCATTTTCCAGATTAAAGAAGGAAGTCTTGTTTGCAAAAAAATTGCATTTAATGTAAGGATATATTTTGAATACTTTTAAACTTCCATTGCAATCTGTTAAACTGATCTGGCGTTCATATTTGTTCTGCTTTTTATACATATGGAGATATGTATTACAACATGTATGACATGCATCGCGCTATGCAATGAGAATATAGCTGTGGAATTGACAGAACCTACAAATATTCTCTCGTTATATTATTGTCACGTGTATGAGTGACTATTAGACGGGGTTTTGATTGGTTGATTGAATTTATTGACCCAACTCTTAACTACAGGTAATATAGCGCTACCGCTGATCTCCACATTTTACAGTTCACTGTTACACACACCAATGTCCTCAGTCTCTGACATTAAGGGAGGAACATAGACTGAGGTTATTTGAGAACAGGGTGTTGAGGAG